CGCAGCAGCATTATCCACAACAGCCAAAAGGTGGAAGCAACCACGGTGTCTACTAATGGATGACATAAACAAAATGTGGCATAAAGAGGCAATGAAATAGTATTCAGCCGTGAAAAGGAAGGACGTTCTGACACAGGCTATAACATGGATGAACCTTAAAGACATTATCCTAAGTGAAAAAAGCTACTCACAGAAAGACAAGGGCTGTATGATCCTATTTATATGAGTTACCTAGAGAAGTCTAATTCATACAGACAGTAGAAAGGAAGGTGTCAGGAAGTAGGGGAAAGGGGAAATGGGGAATTTTTAATGGGTGGGGAGTTTCAGTTTTGCAAGATAAAAACAGTTCTAGAGACTGGTTACATAACAATGTGAAAGTACTTAACACTAACTGACCTGTACACTTAAAAACAGCTCAGAGGATAAATTTTATGTTATTTCACCACAATTTTTTTAAAGAGAAAAATAACATTCAGAGGAAGAAAGATACATTACATATAGGATTCTAACAATAAAAATAACAGCTCACCTCTGAACAAAAACAATGAAGCTCAGATGATTATAGAATGACATCCTTTAAAATGCCAAAAGAAAATAAAACCACCATTCCAGAATTTTATATCCAGCAAGGTATCTCCCCAAAACGAAGGTGAGGTGTGCCTGGGTGGCACGGATGTTTAGCGACTGACTCTTGGTTTCAGTTCACGTTGTGACCTCGGGGTCATGAGACTGGGTTCTGCATAGGGCTCTGTGCTCAGAGGGGAGTCTGCTTGAGACTCTTGCTCTCCTCCTCTCTCTGTCCCTCTTCCCCCACGCATGTGTGCTCTCTCTTGAATAAGTAAATAAATCTTAAAAAAAAATGAAGGTGAAATACAGGTATTTCCAGGTAAGTGGAAACTGGGAAAACATGTCACAAGGGGACTCACATGGTAAGAAATGATAAAGGAAGCTCTTCACGCCAAAGAGAAAACCAAGTGAAAACCCCACTAGGCAATGTTTAATATTTGCTTTCAACAGTCACATATACTAATGAACTGAGGAGGGAAAATTATGCAGATATTTACTATTTCTGGGGCTGTTCCTTCATTCCTGAAGGTTTTAGTTTCCTTCCGGTACTATTTTGCTTCAGCCTGAAGAACTTCCTTAACAGTTCTTTACATCAGATCTCTCAGAAATTCTCTTGTTTTTCTTTCATTTGGCAATCTCTTCATTCCTAAAGGATAATTTTTCAGGATATAAACTTGTGGGTTGACAGTTTTCCTTTTCTTTCCGTTCATGTTTATGGCATATTGTTATTATACGGGCTTTTGAATTTGTGTCTGTTAATTCTAACACGTAGGTTATGCTGGGGTTGGCATCTGTGCTTTCCCCTGAGAACTGGTTACATTTTGCTGGTTCTCTGTATGCTGAGAAACTGTGGATTATATATCCTTAGTATTGTGCTATGATGTTGTGTAGATGCTGGGTTCTCTTATAATCCTCTGGAGAATGCTGAGGTTTTTGTTTTGCAGGCAATCACTGTGGTTAGATTCAGGCTGCAAGATCCGTCTCTCCTTCTGTGTGTGGTGGTGCCAATCTCAGCTTAGTTCACAAAGCCTTTGTTATGCTGGTTTGCTCTGTCCCACACGTGTGCAGCTCACAGTGAGCCTGAGACGTGTGTGGTTTCACACCCAGAATGAGGAAATCCCTTCTCAAGCTCTCTTCACTCTGGGTACTCCACTCCCTTCCAGCCCCCAAAGGGCTCCTTTTCTGATTCCTCTACCAAGAAAGATGGGGTTTCTATCACGTTTCAGCTGTCTGCCCCAATGGGCTGCTGTGTGAGTGGGCCCACCCTCAGAGCAATTCCACGAGATACAGAGGAGTCACCTCTATATTGCTGCCATCTCCAAGTTTTGCTCCCCTTTATAACTTGCCTCATTTTGTTTTTATAGAATCAAAACGATTACAGGGCAATTGTGTTTTGTCTGTAGTTTTTACTTGTGATCAGTGGGAGGGGCAGTCTGTAGTGTGCTTCTGCCACTGCACAGGGACTGGCACTCCCCAGTGATTTTTTTAGAGTTTCTGTCTCCTAAATTTCACCATCTCTTCACTATATCCAGCCCTACCCCTTAATACCATAGATTAAAGCTTTTGACACACTTGAAGTCTTTGTACGTGGCTAGCTCCTTTTTTTTTTTTTTTTGAGAGAGAGAGTGCAACGCAAACAGGGGAGGGGTAGAGGGAGAGAGAATCCTAAGTAGGCTCCACACCCAGGGTGGAGCCTGATGCAGGGCTGATCTCATGACGCTGAGATCATGACCTCAGCTGAAATCAAGAGTTGGATGCTCAAGCAACTGAGCCACCTGGGGACCCCCCTCCTAGCTCCGTTTAAGAGTTAAATCTCTTTCAGTTTCTGTCTGCTTTGTGATTGCTCTTCAGTGCCTTCAAACAGTTGTTTTTTTATATTGTGTCCAGAATTTCTAACTGTTACAGTATGTTTAGTATCATGTAAACTACTCCAATACTTCCAGAAATTATATGGTGTTTCTGGACCAAAGAAAGCTTCCTTCCCACCCTCCATTACTTGGGAATTCGGTTAATGTTGTTTGAACTTATTTTTTCCAAAAATCTCCAAGATTCTGCTCATCCCTCTCCTGTTCCCACACCCACACAAGTGAAAGCAGACACAGAAAAGCACAGCTTGGTCAGGGCCCCACACTAAAGCTGCTTCCCCAACCGCAGATCAGTTTTGTCTCCCCTATTATGTTCTCTCTCTATAACACAGATTTGCTTGGATATTTTTTATGTACCTACTATATGCCCTTGGTCCCGTCTTCAAAGTGCAGCAATATATTAATACAAATATCCATACAATGAGGCAGAGAGTTCCAAATGCCGTGAGAGAGAGAGAATAAAAAACTGCTACGGGAAATCAGAGAAGTGGATTTCAGCTAGGCAAATTAACAGAGGTTTTAGCGAGGAGGGGGGTGTGCAGAGAGCGGGCTAACTCTGCACACTGCTAATTCAAGCAGAGGCATTTACTTATCTGTTCTCTGCTGCTCCTGCAGCATCATGGAAGTGGAGGTGGTAGTAGTTGTTAGTATTATATAAAGCCTTCTACTTAAAGTGTGACCCACAGACAAGCTCTGGAATTTAGCAGAGAGGCAGGATCTCAGGACCCACTGCAGGCTTACTGAATCAGAGTCAGCATTTTAACCAGATCCCCAGATATTTCATATGTATTCTGAGGGTGAGAGGCATTAACAGAAAGTACATTTTCAAGAGAACAATGATTTTTAAGACCTCACCTTCTCTACTCTGAGGCAAGGACGCGTGAGGTGGGCAGTGGGGGGGGGGGGCCCAAGGAGAACAAACGCTCCGGAGTACTGAGGATGTGCTTGGGTCACTATGCTCATCAGGAAGCCTTAGAAGGAGTTATTTCCATTCGGTAGGTCAGGAAATGGAAGCTCAAGGAGGTTCAGTAAGTGGCCCAAGATCACAAAGAAAGTGGCAGAACCTGAATTTGGATCCGTATCTGATGGATTCCAAAGCCTGTAAATGCTTTTAGTCTCTGCACCCTGCGTGTCTGGTGTGTGATCCAGGAGCCTCAGTGCTGTTTACAGTGCTGCCGCAAACTCGTTGGGTGATCTCAGCTCTTCTTGTCTAAGTGGATGGAGTTTGAACCAGTGAAAGTTCACAAACATAAATCCCGTGGCCTCAGGAAAATGGGTATTTGAGGCAACCTTAAGACAGAGTGCTGGGAGTGCATGTTATGTGCTGGTCCCAGAAGCAGGGTAACGTGGTGCGGAGTACAGGACCAGGGATGAAGAGCCCTGGGTTCTAGTCCTGCCTCTGTTACGCGGTAGCTGGGAGCCTCATTTTCCTCATCTAGAAAATGGACAGAAATGATCTATATTGGCTATCTCTCAGTGCATTTGACTGGTTCGAGTAAGATTCTGCTTGAAAATGTTCTGTGATGTGATACACTAATACAGTCAGTTCTCTAATTGCCTTAGTTTTCATAACACAAATTAGATATTTCTAAATTAATTGAGAAATAGGATTTGTCGTCTGCTGCCCATGTTAGCAACTGGGAACTAGCTCTGGCAAAGCCCATCACCTCTGTGCTTGTGTTTGCCCTAACAACGGGAATAAAAGGTAGTAAAAATATGTACAGACTCTGCACCAGTGAGAGAGCTAGTGGTGTTAGAACTACAAAGACCATTATTCTAGAGCAGAGAGTCCTTGCTCTAGAACTTTCTGTGGGGATGAAATGTTTCCTTATCCGTGCTGTCCGCTAGGGTAGCCGCTAGCCACACTGGGGACTGGGAATTTGAAATGTGGCCAGTGCAACTGAGGAACTTCATTTTAAGTTTTATCTTGTTTGAGCCCATTCAAATTTAAACACGTGGGTAGTTAACTACCACACAGAACAGTGCAGCTCTAGAGCAAAACTGAGGTACAGGTATGTTCAGTGTTGTAAGACTTTACAGCTAGGGGCGCCTGGGTGGCTCAGTCGTTAAGCGTCTGCCTTTGGCTCAGGTCATTATCCCAGGGTCCTGGGATCGAGCCCCACGTCGGGCTCCCTGCTCCACGGAAGCCTGCTTCTCCCTCTCCCACTCCCGCTGCTTGTGTTCCCTCTCTCGCTCTCTCTGTCTCTGTAAGACTTTACAGCTATACTCCTACTACCAACAAGTAAATTGATTTTTTTCCCCAATTCTGAAACTCTAGCCCCTAATGCCTTCCCCGCCACCCCCCGATTAAACAAAACATTTTTATAGCGTCATTTCTGATAATGGGAGGTTCCTCTGGAATCTAATTATCACTGTATAGCACCACAGCTGATACCAGCACAATGTGAAGCTTACCTAGGCAAAAGAATGAGGCTTTGTTAATAAATGTCTGTTCGTCTGAGAAAATATTTTACTCCCTTGTCTTTAAAATTAAAAACAGTAGGACTGCAAGCTACTGGGCCCTGTGAGTGGCCATGCGACACACCGGTGCTCACAGCGGTCTCCTACCTTGCGTTCTCCGCTCTCCGGCTGATGCACTGGTGCAAGTAGAGATACTCCTGAGGCGCACTGGTGGACAAGGCGGGCTGCATGTGGTTGGACACCGGGGGTTCAAAGGTGAACAGCGTGGGCTGGCTGGAGTGCGATGGGGCTGAGGACTTCCGTTCTCGGAGAAGGTGCTGACTGGAGCTGCTGAGCTCGGCTGGAGAAGAGCGGGGGCCGTGACTGGTGGAGGAGAGGTTTCTCAGGGAGTCTGGGAAACAAAAGAAGGAGCTCTGTGACTGAAAAAGGGAAGAAAGGTGTCCTTATCCCAAAGTGGGCTGTCAGAGGAAGAAGAGATATGAGCAGAGGCAATGATCCAGCAGCAGCCTTCTCTCCCCCTCACACACCTGCCCCTTCCCTGCCTCCAGAGAGGGAGGACTGTGGCTGCCTGGCAGAAAAGGAGATGCCCTGTGCCTCCGCGCCGCGCCTGGAGTCGCCTGGGGGCTGCTCCAGGTCACAACCTTGACGGTGTTCGCCCAGCTCCCGGGAGGTGTGGCTTGCCAGGGGCGCGGGAGTGGGACTCCTGCACTCCCGCCAGGCCAGCCCTCGGAGCAGTAAGTGCCACTGCCTTCCTCCTCTTGGGAAGCTCCTGCGTCATCACCTCCATCAAAGCGCTGGCTGACTTTGTTAAATGAGCTTTGCTTCCTGGAGACTCACTAGGTCAGACCCTGGACTGTGTGCCTTACCGCATTAAGGATAAAAGCACACAAGTATTTGGAGCAGACTGTCCCGTAAGACTGGTCCCAGCTCCTCCTGCCCGCTCTTCCAAGTCCTCTTGAGGACAACAATGGTCCCCATTCCCCAACTCTTATGCCCACCACTCTGTGTCAATTGGTCTTTTTTCCCCTTAACTCTCCTCTTAAACTCCCCTCTGTTGTGCTAGAAAAGAAGCAGGGTATTAAAGACAGATCACAGCTGAGAGTGCTACCAACCCCCAAGCCAAGGGCATTACTCATTTGGCTCGTTCTCCAAGCCTAGTCCAAGTTCCTGAGCCTAACGCACAAGGCCTTCGACAGTCTCACCTACTTCCTGCTTTTCTCCTCCCGGACCGAGGCATTCGGAAGCTTCATCAGTCCCCAGGCACACCAGCCCCTTTTATGACTCTTTCTTAAGGGCTTTGGCTCTTCCTTCCGCCTGGATTTCACTTCTACTCTACTGGCACTCACACGCAGACTTTAAGACCCTACACGGATATCGTATTCTCTGTGAAACCTTCCTGGACGCGGTCCTTTTTCTGGCTGCCAATAGCACTTGGCCCATGTTTCATTATATTCACGGTCCCTCTGCCTCCTCGCCTAGCCCAAGAGTCTCTAAGACAGTGAATGATGCTGTTGCGCCTACGGTCCCAGGATTTACCCAATAAAGGCCAGGCGCACAGAAAATTCTTAGTCTGTGTTTGTGGAACAAGCAAAAATGTTCGTTCGGCGTACAGTAATTCCACAGTGAAACTTCTTTTTCAAGAGAAATAAAGGTTTAAAGATGTGATTTCTGGCGATGTGACAGCTGATGGGGTGTGATGGTTCAGTGGTGGTGTGGTGGCTTCCTAGGCTATTCGAATCTTTTCTGTTTCTACTCCCCGTTATCTGACCTATTTTAGTACCCTTCTCATGGCCCCAGGATCATCAGCTCATTAGTGCTCTATCAGATTAATTACTCTCCAGGCTTCTCTGATGCTAGGCAGAACAACTTCCGCCCGCGTCCAACGGAGAAAGCCACGGGCCTCGGGGGAAAAACAGTTCCATCGACAGGGTATTGACCCCCAAAATGAATTCCCATTACAGGTCTGGTAGTGAACTGGATGTTTGTTAACAGAATCAATGGCATCATTACTCCATTAGATTTGCAAGATGAACTCTCTAATGGCGGAGGGGGGAAGGTTTATGCTCAGGGATGAAGTAGCCATGGTGCCAGGGGTGAACACAGCTACTGCCTGAGAAGACACAGGGAAGGTGCTAAAAGAAAGCCTCTGGGGGCATTTCTACCTTCCCGGTGGTCTTTCTGGATCCCTCCACCTCTGCCATCCCTTCAGTGGGGGCATTTTTCATGGTTCCACCCCGGACCCTCCTATAGCTTCACTCACTTAGGAGACTCCCCTGGGCTAATCTTCTCCAGCCAGGTGATGACACTCTCGAAACTCAGTCTTTAGCTCAGTTCTCTATCCTGGGCTCTTGTCCTATAACCCTCTGCCTGCTTGGCATCTCCATTCAGATATCCCACAGGCAGGTCAAGCTCAGAGATCCTCCTCCTGTGTTCTCCCTCTCCGTGAAGTACATCAATGCCACCATCCAATTGGTTCTGAGCCAGAAACCTAGGCATTATCTAGGACTCTGCTTCTCGACGACTGCGCCATGTCATTATGTCATCGCCCAGCTTCAAAATCTTCAGTGGATCCCTGTTATCCTCAGGATGACCTACAAAGCTCTCTCTTTTTAAAACCATTTTCTTGTTTATTTCTTCAACCTTGTTTCTGACCAGTCCTTCCTTGTGTTTCACATAGATTTTTAGGAAGACAGTAACCTTTCTCTCTCATCACTCCATACATTCAGCTGTAAACTCACTGTCTCTTCTCTAACAGTTTCATCCCTGGCATCAAGCCCAGTGTGTGACCCAACTCCATAAATACATGTTGATTAATAAAATAATGAAATACATAGCATGAGGTCATACTCCCTCCATACCGCTGATTCCTCACTGCCTCTAGAATCAAGTTCAGGTTCCCAAGTCCAACAAGAAAGGCCATTCTGTGACAATCTACTTATCCCACCTGTCACCCCATACACCCTGCGTGCCCCCTTCACTTCATGCTTTGAGCTGTGGGTCTGTGTATAAAAGAGGAGTGACCTGTTCTCACAGCTGGGGCCCTCTGACCCAGGTTCTTTACTTGCAGAGCTGGAGAAATCATTTCACTTCTCTGAGCCTCAGTTTCCTTATTTACAAGTTGACAGAGGATGGTCACAAGGATGGAATGCATAAAGGGTTGAGACAATTCGGCATGTTTTAAGTTCTCAAAATGTGTTCTAGGCATTTCTGTATTCCTGGTGCCTAAAACAGTCTCAGCTCACTGTGGGTATTGAATATATAGTTGCTGAGTAAATAAAAGAATTTTCACTAGCACAAAACCAAATATGCCTGTTTCTTGTGGTCAAAATAAGAGGGGCTTTCAAGGCCTGCTAATAAGATAAAGTAGGGGTTACGATGAGTTGGGCCCACTTGGAATTCCATTCTATAAATATGAAGCCATGTCTATGAAATCAGTCAGCTCCATAATGATCTGCAGCTTCAGAAAAATTCTTTCAAAGCTGTTTTGGTGCTAAACCTTGCCAAAATCTCACTTCTGTTTGCTACTTTAAAAGATTTCTACCTGAATATAGGTAATCATTCCTTAGGGCCTATAATGGATTGAACAGTGTCCCCCCAAAACTCATGTCTACATGGAACCTCAGGATGTGACCTTGTTTGAAAATAGGGTCTTTGCAGATCTAATTAGTTAACATGAGGTCATACTGGATTAGGGTAGGTCCTAATCTACTGATGGGTATACTTATAAGAACAGCAAACAGAGACAGAGACATATAGGGAGAAGATCATGTGATGACAGAGGTAGAGACTGGATAAACAATGTGATATAGCTATACAATGGAATATTATTCAGCCATCTAATGAATGAAGTACTGATACATGCTACCACATGGATGGATCTTCAAAACTATGCTAAGTGAAAGAAGCCAGCGATAAAAGGCTACAGATTGTAATGATTTTATTTATGTGAAATGTCTAGAATCAGCACATCCATAAAGACAGCAAATAGACTATTGGTTGCCTGGGGATGGGGGTGGGATGGAGGAGTGACTGCTAATGAGTGTGGGGTTTCTAACTGAGGTAATGAAAATGTTCCAACATTAGATGGCGGTGATGGGTACACAACCCTGTGAATATACTGAGAAACAGTGACCTGTATACTTTAAATGGGCGATATATGATAAGTGAATTTAAAAAACACACACATGCATAAACACTTTTGCAAAGTATGAGGTATTAAGTCTGTGCAAGAGATGAATGGTTTAATTAAATACATCTGACCTTTAGTTTATTTCCTCTCTAAAGAGAATGTTGAACACTCAGTAAATACCAAGTCCTTACTAAAGTAGACTGAGTAAGGAACATTCTCCCTTTCCTACCTTCAGTTCCCTGCATCTCCTCCAACCCCACTGCTCAGGGCTTTACTCCACAATCATAGCAAGGCAGTGGGAATTTCAGCAAAACAAAATGGCAAGAACTCCTTGGGGTCAAAAGACCCAAAGTGTAAAAGGTGAATGAGATATTGGTGTGAAAACAAATGCGCACACTCGCATAAAACGTGCACAGGATTTGTTTTTATTGCCCTGGGTACCCCTTGAGGGAAGAAAAGAATGAAAAAGGACATTACGCTATGTGTGGCTGGGCTGTTTTTGGTATGTGGCCATCAGGCTGTTGTAATGATGTGTCTTGGGTCATTAGGAAGGGCAGTTATACAGCAAGAAGAAAATGGACATTTCCAGACTTCTGGCCTGGGCTTCCATCTCCAAGTCTAGACTAAAGATAATGCCAGAAAATGCTTGAGTCAAATTTGTTTTCTTTTAAACAGGGTTTTATTTTTTCCTCTTCTCCCTGGCTTCTTTTTAGGGCCCTAAAAATCACTCCCCTTCCTTTCCACAATCACCCCTGGGAAGGCTGCCCAGCACACAAACACTCCGCCCACCTTCTTGCAAAACTCTAGAACAGGAAAGCTCTGAAGGATTTTAGTAGAGGGGCCCAGCCCAGCCCAGCCCAGCCATCAACCGGCTAGTGATAACAGGAGCAGGAAAGGGGCGGTTGGCGGGAGTTTCTGGAAAAGATGACTGGCCAAATAATGACGGGTTCCCTTATCTCAATGCCCTTTTTATCTTTATCCTCCCCCCCCCCAAATCCCCACCCAAGCCTCAGTGGGTGTCAGAACCCATGAAGTGGTAGACCAAGTCACATGCTGGAGCTCAGGCTGGACTCAAAGCCTGCTTTTGCTAACTCCTCGCTTTATGGCCTTCGACAGGTTACATAAACCTCTTTGATCTTCACCTGTTCAACGGGGAAAATAATTTTCCGGGGCTGCTGCAAGGTTTGAGATCATACATATCAAGCATTTAGCACAGTGCCTGCCATTCTTACTGCTTCTACTCCTTAGTGCACATGAAACTG